TCTCCGCAATCTCTTTGTTCTCCCTATATCCAACCGTTGCTTCACTGAACTTCTCAACTGCAATCTGCACTTGAAATTCTCAGCCACATTCATTTTAAGTTGGTTGACACTAACATGTAACAACAAATTTCTCGAAATAAACCTCATTGGCAATGTTGGCTCCCATTAGAACACAACAACTGATCCCAAGAATTTCAGAGATGAGGGTAGAGATCATGCAAGGTCCTTCCTTCTTGACCTCCATTCCTTTAATTAGGGAAATTGCTACAGCATCTTTCCTAATTTTCCCAATTAGCCTCTTGCAAATCCCCTCCATGAATTGATGAGGAGTCACAAACACTAACATGTTAGCATCCTTCACTGCACAATTTCCACCACTATAAAATTAAAAAGGACTTAAAACACTCCACAAACTACATTTAAAGCTCAAATATTAACATCTTGTTAATACTACAAGAACAACAACAAGTTCAACAATGTCTAATACCTGCATGTTCAATATCAGGATCGGCAACAACATTTTTAGGTAATTTTATACCAGGAAGATACTTAACATTCTCCTGTGAAAAAAAAACACCCAGTTAAAATATTGATCTCCATATTACTACAAGCGTTAGAAAGCATAATTAACAGAAGAGTAAACAGGGCAATTACATTGGTCCGATTGATGACTTCGGAGAGTTTTTCACCGGATGGCAATGTCTCCTCAAAGACCCACATCCTAACTTCATCTAAATTACACCAGAAAATTAAAAACAACATAAATGAACGTTCAATTTAGACGTAGAACGAAGAAAAGGGTATAAAACAAACCGTGGAAAGAATTGATGTTGAGGGTATTAGAAGCAATGAGCTTGGCTGCAACACTACCCCAATTTCCACTACCAACAACGGTGACTCTTGATTTCTGAAGAACTTCATCTGCAACTGCAACAGGATTGGTATTCGAAGGCGCCATGAAAAGGGTAGTTTCAAGAATGAAATGGGAAATGTGAAGGTGGATGTAACAGAGAAATGGAATTAATGGAAGAGAGGAATATTTGGAAGGAATGGGTACATAGAAAATGGAAGGTAGAGGTTGATTTTGGGCGGAGAAGGCAGACACGTATCGTTAATAGCAATGCGTGTCATGTTAAAATCCGGCGATCTACTCTATGAAAAAAAAAAAAAAAACTACCATTTCAGCCAGGCAAAGAGAGACCCCCCACTAAGCTATGTGGGTTGGCAATGAGTCTATGACATTAATCAATCCCTTCAACTTCCTCCTTCTCTTTCTTCCTTAACTCAACCAATTATCCAAACCTACTCCTTTTAGCCCCATGCCCTACCCATCCATAGTAATTATCACCCGCCAAAGAATGTGGTGTAATAGGTGAGACTATCCTTTCTTAATTTTGAATTTTAAGTTCGAGGTCTGGGTATCCTTAATAGCAATTGTTACCTTAGAATGGGCTTTACTTAAAGACGAATTTGGATTAACCGCACTTTAATGTGAGATACTATACTTTAGAAAAATAAAAAAAAATCCATAATAATTATCTCGTCCATTTCAATTATTTTTTTGTTACTATAATTTCAGTTCAGATATTCCTCTTGTATTATATTTAGGTCTTAATTTTAACAAGGGATACGTGACCAAAATTTCAAATGATATCTTATTTGATTTGATTTATCGATTTCGCGTGTTTATAAATTAAAAATAGATAAATTAAGTTGATATATTGAACCAATCGATACACATTCCTAGAATGAATTGAGTGGTTGGGTTTCTAAAAAAAATCTAATAGTTAAAATTGGGATGGGTCACTTGATTTTGAATTTGTCGGGTTCTGCAGTGCAAATTAAGAGCGAGGTATTTTTAACTTTTTTTTTGTCGTATAATTATGTATAAGGTGTATAACAATGTAAAATGTGTGTGAACACCTTTTATACACTATTATGCATATTTATGTAAATCTATATTTGTATAATAAATGTATAATGTTGTATATAGTATAAATAAATGTATAATGTTATATATTGTGTAAAAATAATTATGAAGGTATAATTTTTTTTATGGACTATGTGAATATAATTATTTTTTCTTAAATTACTCTTGTCTTTAATAGACAACTCGGTAGATATCACATTAATTAATGTGGAAATTTATACTCCACCAGATCCTAATTAATACAAACTTATCTTTTGCCGTTCTTTTTGACTTAACTCAGTTCCTTTACAATCTTTTTTCCCCCTACTATTTCTTTTTATATTTTTTCTCGCAATTTAATTTATCATTTTTTTTTAATGTATTTCATTATTTGTTATTTTGCCTAATAGTTACAATTGTTTTCAAATGCTTGCTACTTCCTTTTGTTTTTTCTCAGAACTTTTTATTTTGATTTCTAATGTGATTGTTTATATCAACTTTATTGATCTATCTACATATTACTATTATATTATATAGTTTTGGTTTACAACCAGCTGGTATGACATACTTTTTTTTGTTGCTAAAAAAAACATTTTTTGACTTCTTTTTCCTTTTCTTTCGTCCCTGTTTTTTCTCTTAGACATGTTTAGACCTCCTCTTTGTATCTCTTTAAAATCTAGTATATTTTTTTGTTTGAGTGTTTGTTTTTGTTCCATCATTCATATTCACCTCGTATTGTGTAATTCAAAATTGAGTTTTTGACTTATAAATCGGGGATGGAAAAATCAGCTCATAAAAATAATAGATCTGTCCAATAAATTTAAGTTAAGATGGATTAATAATCTACTTATTTTATTAATTCAATTAATTTAGATCTCCTTAGTTCAAACCTTCAACTCTATAAAAATAACACTTAAATCTAAACCCTACAAAAAATAACTAATATTTTGAAATTTATATAATACACTAATTTAATGCGCTATATGGCACCAGTAATCTTAACCACCGTTAAAACTTGATCCATTAATAAAAAACCTAATCCACTGTAGACAATTTTATAAACTTTATTTTATCCCTTCGTTTTGCTCAATTTCCTTGGGTTCATTTTTACTCAAAACACAAAAAGTGGATCATAATTAAAGATGCAATGGAGCTAAATAGTAGAAAATAATGAGAAGAATATGTCATTGACTCACTAATTTTATGTATACTAATTATCATTAAGTGTTAATAATATATTTAAAATGTTTGTAGATCGTAATTTTCTCTTAAGAATTTAGTCAGATTCAACAAGACCCCTACTTATTCTTGTGGCAGAAACAACACCCCTTTATTTTCGAACAAAAATGCTCATCATCATCCCTTCATTCTTTCACTTTTCTCTGCCAATCATTTTTTTCCTTCCATTCATTTTCCGCCATATCCGATTCCAGTCCTTCTATAAATTCCACCTTCACCACTCTCTTTCAATTCATTCTTTAGCTGTCAAGTATTTCTCTAAAAGAATAAACGAGAAGTACTGTTAATAAAGAATCTATTTATTAATAAAATCAAAAAGAAAAAAAAAAGAAACAAATCATCATCATAAAATTAAAATAAAAAAAAATGGCACGCCAATTAGTTGCTCTGGCTCTTGTGTTGGTTGCCCTTGTTGCAGGTGTTTCTGCACAAGCAGTAGATTCCCCTGCTTCATCCCCTGAAGCCAGTGCACCAGCTGCAGATTCGGTTTCAGTTTCTCCATCTTCTTCTGAATCTCCTGATGCATCGAGCCCTGTTGCTGCCGATGTGGAACCTTCATCTCCACCTGCACCAGCTAGTGAAGCCAGCGCTGCTCCTACTCAATCTCCCATTTCTGCAGCACCTGAGGCTAGTGCACCAAATGCTGCTGCCGATTCCCCTGTTGCCGCTGGTCCAGGAGGGGTTTCATCTGCTGCAAGCGATGACTACTACTAAACCACCAAATTATATGCTTTTGATTAATTAGATGAATGGTGTTTTCGGATTAGAGTGACTCTTTTTTCATAAATATATATTTGATTGTGAAATTTTCTGATTTTTTTTTTAGTTATATTAATAAAAAGACATATAGAAGAATGTTTTTGAATAATTTTGGGAGGTGCCTAATAGTCTTTAGTACTCCAATGAAATTTTGAAGAGGTAGGTAGTCCATAATTATTCTAAACCAGTCACAATTTTTTCATTACGACCATAAAGTTAACGGTATAAAAAAGGCATAACATAAATATGATCATTAATTTGGCATTAACTTATAACTATGACCTTTTAATTTTGGATGTGTACAAGTATGCACTTAAATTTGTATAAAATTAAACAAATAGATACATTCGTCCTACATGACACCCAACGTGACAATTTTGTGTCCAACGCGGCGTACTACGTGTATTATGCCAGGTAGGACATGTGTGTCTATTTGTTCAATTTTATGTAAGTTTAAGTGTCTACTTGTGCACATTTAAAGTTGGAGGATATATTGTCCACTGAAGCCAAGTTAAGGGTCATACTTATGTATTATGCCTATAAAAAAGTTGTGCACTATCACTACATTAATAAAAAATATTCTCTTCATTTCGATTCGTAAAGAACTTTATATATTATCAAAATAAGTGCTAGATTTCTTCCTTTCTTAACTAGTAAAAGTTCTCCGTGCTCACATATATACATCATTTGATAGATGAATTTTGTATAATATTAGATTCTCTTTACAAATGATGTAAAAACAGATTCAAGAATTTATAGGTTTCAATTCAGAGGGACAATTTACATCGGCTCATACATTTTAATACATACACATGAACTATATACTGTTACAATAGAGATAAGCGAGTAATTAATTAACCAGGACAAGGTTGATTTTTAGCGTAAGCTAAGTCATTAATAGGCCCTTTTCTTACCGTCTTGACCCTCCATTTCTAGGAAAATTGTGTTGAGGATCTGATAATCTAAGCCTTGCATCTTCTGATCGATTCATATTAGTCTGTGCTTAAGCAAGAAGCTAGAGATGCTCTGCTACATTAATTATAGTTATAGAAGTGAATTAGTACTAATTACTAGTAGGAATCTTAATTAGACACTAGTGGTTCGATAAGAAGAGCAGAAGTTTGTCTTTGTCTCTCACCCCAACCATATGCAAGTGTTCATAATCTTCCCTTTCTTTCCCTCTAAATAACAGCCTCTGCTCTTTTGGTTCCAAACCAGTTACAATTGACAACATCATCTTCAATTCACCTGATGAGCCAACAAAACGAAATATAACGTTAATTTTCGTGTGAAATAAGGACATTATTGACCCAATTCAGTAACAAAGACCAACTATTGTGAATTTCACATACATTTTCGACCACATAAACAAAGTGGGAGGCTTACCAAAAGTAGAAGTGGGTTGGATAGAAATGTCATGGCAATTAGAAACAGTTGAGACTCTAAGTGTGATGATTGCTTCTCCATTTGAATTACTAATATTATTCTCACATTCTCTTTTTTGAACTAACATACCTCCTGGACGTAATTCCCATTTGATTTCACCACCATTATTGTTAATAGTACTATTACTTTTAACCTTCCTTGAAAACCTCTTCGATCTTAACTTTATCATTTTTTTTTATCAACACAAAAAATTGAAGATATGTAATAGGATAAGGAAATTGGGTGACTAATTGGCTTCTTATATAGTATCCTGGGTCGGGCGGAGCTAGAATTTTTAATAAGGGGTTCAAAATCTGAAGCACTAAACACACGAACTAATCGAAGAGGGTTCGACATCTACTACATATACATAAAAAAACTAATTTTAACCATGTATAAATAGTAATATTTTCTGCCGAAGGAGATTCAGATGAACCCCCTAACAGAAGGCCGGCTCTGCTGCCACTGGGCCCTGTACGAGGACAATATTAATTATGTTTACGAGTATAATAATTTGAGATAATTTCAGAGACCTCCCTTCACGTTTAGTTTCATTGTACATATGTTGTTTGGACCTTCAAAAAATTAGCATGGATCTCTGAAATTATCCTTTGATAATTTAGTCACATAAAAATTAAGGCACATGGGTAGGTGGCGGTTTGTGCTTGATTAGCGCGGGGTCAATTTTAATGTGTTATATAAACAAAGTCAGTTGGTCATATTAATCAAATTACTAAAAGTGATTATTGTGAGACTTTTCACAATCAAACAACCAAAGGAATGTCTGCAATTTCCTCAATCTGATATTTGGCCAAAGAAATTAAACTGCTTTTTTTCATGGCCTGCCTGTTTTTTTCTTAATATCCTATTAATTAATTGAAATCATGTCACGTAAATTAAAAGAGAAAAGAATATTTAAATAATTGTACTTGCTTCAAGTTATTTAATGGGCTTTAATTTTCCCATTATATAGTATATTTCTAATCCTTTCAAGATAAATGCTACGTAATTGTTTTGTTTATTAGAGAAAAAATATATTTCAACCTACATGTATAACTTAAATACTCCACTAATTCTTCTTGCATAGAAATGGACATTATTTTGTCGTTACTTGCTTACTTGTGTGATTTAATAATTTGATTGAGTGGCCTCTAACAAATAAAATGCATCGAATAATTTGGTCATATATATATATATATATATATATATATAAAATTTAGATTAGAAGATTAAGATATATAATATGAATAGGTATCTTCTCATGTGAGAGAGACACCCGCAAAGACAAAAATATATAGATAAAAATGTAAAACAACTAGTCTTAGTTCTGGAATAAAATAATTTAGTGGTGTTTTAATTTTTTGTTTCTTACTAATTTTATGATAAGTTATATTTGGATTAAATAAGCATCAGGGTAAGTTATAATATGATTTGTTATTTCAGAATAAAATAATAAAAATGACAAAATACCTCTGAGGTCCCTTAAATCGTTTTTTTACTAAATAACTAAGGTTAATAAATATTTTTTTCTTAGAAATTATGTCATGCTAGTGCAACAAATCAAACAATTAATAAAAAAATAGTATCAGATTAATTACTCCAGCCTAACTTTATTTTCAAACCAAACGATGTCTTAAGTTTTTTTTATAAAAATCATCTAAAATTGTTAGCTCATGGAGTTCTAGACTTCTAGCTATCTCATAAATGCCTTAATTTTTTAAAATTATTTAATTTGATTACTAGTTTAGTTTTGATTAAATCTGTATACTTTACACCATGTTTCCAGCTTACCCTACATATAAGTTTATCATAGGATAACGAGACTAGTTTTACCTCTAATATGATCGACCATTTTCTCGTACTACACACTTACCTTCTCCATGCCACCTTATTAGCTACCTCGAGTCATTCAACTTATTCAAAATAATGAGATTTTGCATGTTATTTAAGAAATAATGATTGACATAACTATTATTTTATAATAATAATTATCTTAATTGATGTTTAGTCTTAGGTCTTAAGAAATAATTTGAGAATAAATAATTAAGGAAAAAAAGATAAATATATTCTCGAACTATCGTAAATGGTATGCAGATACCCTCTGTCATTGTTTTGGGACATTGGTGCCCCTGCCTTTCAAAAACACTACAACAAATTCGATTATCAGGGACAAATAATTTCGTCATTTATAAATCATATTTCGTCACTAAAATTCTTGTGAGACGAAAAATAATTCGTCACTCAGTCGTCACTAAATGTGTGTCTCTAAAAGTATACAAAGACGATTTAGTGCTTCGTCGCTAAAAGTATTATATTAACTATAAAAAGAAAAATCGTCCCAAATGCTTAAACATTTGTGACAAATTCATTTGTCGTAAAAAGTATATTTTTTGTAGTTAATAGTATGTTTTGTCACTAAAACGGTTATTACTACCGACAAAATTATATCGTCGCTACTGACTATATTTTATATACCAAAAATTATTTTGTTATTAAATGTATTAATTAGGGACAATTTTATTATTTTTAGACAGAAGCAAATAGATCGACTTAGTCTATGTAGTTTACCAATCACAAATCAATAGACACGCACAAAAATTAGCACCAAGACTTGAGAATTATTTTTTCTATCGTCTTTATCGATGAAAGTGTATCAAATAAAAAAACAAAAGTGTTAAACCAACAAATATTAGTGATCTAGTGGCAGAATCGTACCCCACTCACGATACTTATAACCTGGATTGTATTTTTGAAATGATGCATAATTGTGTAATTTAAGAAAATTCATGAATTGAACTTTTTCATTTTTACAAAATGGACCGAATTCGTTGGTTTTAATATTTTTCCTCGCCAATTAACGAAAGGATTCTGTCTATTTCTTATGAAGCACTTATATTATTCTTTTTGTAAGTTGTCACTTATAATTATGAACAATTGTAGCAAAAAAAAATTGTATTTAGCTATGAATTTTTTTCGTAGCAAATAGTTGAATTATTCACTACAAATTTTAAGTCGTCGCTATTTAACACCTTACATATTTTGTGACAATTGTTTTGTTGTCACTGAATCACAGATTGTTTAGAGACAATAAAATCTTTGTCACCAATTATTTATACTATTAGTGATGAAAATAAATATCATAATTAAAGTTAAATTCTTATAGCTAAAACTTATAATATTTAACTACGAATTCTAATTTGTCGATATTGTAACAACAAATTTTTTTAGATGAAATTTTTTTGGGTAAAAAAATCAATAAATTTTAAGACAAAATAATTTGTCATGAATTAGATACATTATTAGTGACGAAATAATGTGTCACCGATAACTTTAAATTCGTGACTAACACTACTTAACAAATGGCGCCAATTAATTTTTTGGTGGGAAACTTTAGTAGATGAAACTTTGCTACAGTTTTTTTGTTTCATCACTAAAAGTATGTGTCTCATATATTTAAGCACGAAAAGTAAATTTTGTCACTAAAAGCGAGCAATTAGTGACGAATTTGATGTCGTAGCTAATAATTTTGTAGCTATATATCATATTTGTTGTAGTGAAACTAGAGCTTGTATACCCTTTATACTAACGTACATACACGTGTCAAAATCTTATCCACCGACCTGATATTTATTAAATATCGGATCGACGGATAAGATTGTGCCATGTGTCCCTATTTAGTCTTTCGTTAGAGTGAAGGGCATATATGTTGTAGTTTTTGGATGACATGGGCACCAATGTCCCAAAACTATGACGGAGGGTATCTGCATACCATTTACGATAGTTCGAATATATATTTGTCATTTTCTCAATAATTAATGTTAAGACTAAACATGAAAATAACAATACTATGTTTTTCATTTTATATGCTAAACATAAAAATATGTTTTTAGTATAGTGAATAAGTAAAAATGACTAAAAGAGAAGTTAACTTTGGTAGCTAGAGATCTTAATTTAGATTTGGCAAGTATTGAAATGTGTAGTAGAATCTGAATCATACTTGCCACTTGGGATATGATTCTTTTTCCATATCCCCTTACATGATTTTCATTGTTGTGAGAGTAGATATTATTAAGTACATTGGAAAGAATAATATCAATTGAAGATTTTGCGTGTCTTATAAGTGTTACTAGCTAGACTAGGTCGTTGATACGATGTTTGCGTGCATCACAAAAATAGGGAAAGTAGAGAAAGAATGAAATAAGTGACCGGTATAAGATAACAAGATTAAAGACATTTTAATATATTTGATATATATTTAATTTACAGTCACAAGATTTAAAAGTCTTAAACTTTGTGACAAGTCAAAATTAGGCAAACAAATTGAAACGAAAGGAGTATATTACATTTTAACATGTTAATAAGTTATCTATTTTATTTTTCATGTTACTAATATATTCATTTTTTATTGGTTTGCAAGTAGTTTATCTTTTAGATACAAAAATAAATAAATTGATACTCCCTCTGTTCAACAATACTTGTCTAGTGTCTACTATTGATTTTATGCACTTCTTTAAAAATTATAAATAGAAGGGTAATTTTACTATATCACCCTTTGAATAAAATAAATACAATGTTTTAAGAAATGTAATAAAAAAAAACACTATAATTAATGATAAGGATAAATTAAGAACTATGTGTAAAATTATCCATTGATTTCATAAAGAGGACAAGTATTGTTGAAATCCCAAAATAGTATAGTAAACAACAATTATTGGACGGAGAGAGTAGTATTATTGTTCTCCAAACTTAAGACGAACCATTACAAATTTAAAATCACCCGTTTTAATGAGTAAATAAGGAAAGATTACTCCCTCTGTCCCTACTTACTTGTCCACTTTTCATTTTTTAGTTGTCCCTAATTACTTGTCCATTTTGACAAATCAAGAACAAACAACTTTTTTTTACCTATTATATCTCCAATTAATTATTTTGAAAAATGTAAAACTTCTTGAAAATCTTAAGTTTTTAATGCATCTATTTCATAATTAATAGGGGTAAAATGATTAACATATCAATAATTATTTTCTTAATAGATGTGTCAATTTAAAAGTGGATCAGATGAAGTCAATAGTTGCACATTTCCCATTGACTTGGGAAACACGTAAAATGACACGTAACATTTCCCATTATTAATCAATATGCACAAGTTTGACTAATAAATTCAACAATTCCCTTGCTTCCCATGCATCCTCCAAATCAAAAGTAGATCTACTCCTCCTATAAATAAACTATGGTTAATATTTTCCTAATCCAATCAACTCTTTGAGCTCACAAAAACATAGCCAACGATGAAGAGAGAGGATCGCCAACATGGTCTTGTTCAAACCTCCCTTTGGAGCCCCACACCCAACTCCAGGTACTTTTTTAGCTCGAACTATGTATACATATACTAAAATAATTAAAATGTAAACATTTTATCATTTTGGAATCTACTAACGATACATTTTGGTTCTGACTCCGCAGGTATGTTAACAAGTTGAATTCCCCTCCCACAGCAGGGTTGTTCACAAAGGCGTCACCAAAGCCCTGGAACCATTCCAAGTTCACAGGCAAGTGTGGCAGGTCTAAATGCACAATTTGCCATTTACAACCAGCTGGAAAGGCCAAGGGGACAAAAAAACTGAGGGGTTGTGACATTGTTACTAACTATAGATTGATGACTTGGAGGGTCACGGATACTAGGCCGCGCTTGACCTTTTCTGGATTCTCAGCTACTAGCTGCATATTGGACCATTTGGCTAATGATCACATGGATCTTGATGATGTTGATGATGATGAGTGATGAGCGGACAATAACAATTGTGATATATAGCTACAAAATTACTAGTTATGAGTCGTAACAAAAACTACATGATTTGTGTTTAAATACATTGAGGCACATACATGAGTGATGAGATTGCTCAATGGCAAGCCCAATTGGTTGTTGATTCCGGTTGCTCGCCATTTACAATAGAAGTTGAGGAGCTAAAGAGCGACTATTTGTAACGTGGAAGGTGTGTGGGGGAGGAATCAAAGGATCGAAAAAGAAGGAGATTGGTGTTTGGTGGGAAGGAGATTGGTGTTTGGTGGAAGAAATGTGATCTTAGTACATTGACTTGGTTTGTATTTACAGTCGAATAAACTGTTGTACTAAGATTTTCTTATGTTTATAATGATTTTATTGTTGTAAGCAAACAATTGTTCATATCAGAAATCATGTATAACCCGAGCATGTTCATGCCAGAACTAAATAAAGCAGGACAACCTTGCAGTTTGTGTTATATAGCACAAAAATGAGAAAAAACTGCAGTTTTTCGATTTTAAATTGTAAAGACTACTCACTGCAATATGATTTTGATATATTAGGCATGCACTTCTTTCTGATACTTAAATTGATATGGTTTGAATGTCACCCTGAAACTTTGTAAAGTTCTACTTTATGATGTACAAAGGAAGATACAATATGGAACAATGCTCACACTCGAAAACTTAGACTAGACTACAGGGTTCAACTTTTCATAAAACAAGTAACAGGAAATGGTGATTCCTTGCATATATAGCTTTAACACAAGTAAAGCTATGTTATTAATGTAATGAGAGACATTATACATCTATGACTCCAAATTGATGTTGTATATTTGGGGATGCGTTCTGATCACGAGACATTACTGTTGACAAGGTATGAGAATTTATCGGTTTTGGGCAATTCTTCTTTCCTGAATACTTGTAAGAGCAATTCTTGCCTGAATATGTAGAAGTTGGGTGTGACGCCAAGTCTTGCATTGTGCTGTTACGGGGATTTCTTCCAAGTTTTGGTGACTGAGGACGTTTAACTGGGGTCTGCACCAAACTAAACCATATGAACAACCGCCAAGAGAGTAGAGCATGGACAAAACCTAATCTATTCAAAATATGGATCCAGAAGGTACTTTTGGGGGAAAAAATGAGCATTAGACAGTTCATTGTTTAGACTTAAGACTATAAGAAATGAAAAATCCCGTAAGTTGATATAGTTAAAATCATCATGGCCATATATCATGACATGTTTTGACAATGGGAACAAAGTATTCTTTTAGGATTATCTGAATCGGTGATACAAGAAGTTATGGTAGTACCTTTTTTGTGTGATTTCTTGCTGTTTCTCTTTCCTTGTAAAACTTAGGCAGGGGACGAGCTCTGAAACAAAAGCTTTGTCGAAGTTTCCTGAGCTCCATTTCAGCTTTCTCCTGTGAGCAAAAGGGTATCCGTTCATATCAGGTTAATTTACTTACTGCTTGCAGTTGAAGAAGTCATGCCAAGGCATTAAAGAGTTAAGTTGTTGTAGAGACAATAAAGAAAGTTAGAAAAATTGGACAAGCCAATAAGGAAGCTCAGGAAGAACCTTTATTTTTGTTTGTAGCTGAACTTTCTGTACCTCTTTTGCATTGAATTTCTCCTCAAGCTTCTGAAGCAAATTTACAGGTGTAAGATGGCATTGGACTTCAGAAACACAAGGAGATAATCCTGATCTCGAAGATGCCAATACGTATAAAAAAAATGCCTTACTTGTTTCCTTCTTGCAGCTCTTTCTTCTGTCCTTAGTAGAAAAGGAGTCGATAAAGAGGGCGATTGTAGTTTGTTACGGCAGGCTGTTAAAGACTTGGAACAACTGCAGAACAGTACTAAGGTAAGAGAGATCCAGTGGCACAACAAACTGACAGAATTCTATAATCTGCATAGTGCAACTTGGATTCATGCCAATATAGGGCATACCTGGTGTATGATTGATTTATGAACCATTTCTTATTTTCGGTTGACAAACATTTGACTATGCAGTTTTGATTTCAATTTGCTTACTGTCTGATTATAGAACTATATTCTAGTAGAATCAACTTCTCCTCAACCCAAACTTCTACTATAAAGAGCATCTCAAATATTCCTGCTATGTTAGCTTTCATCCATTTAGATCATAATGGTAAAGTGCGTCTACGATTGCTAGAATGTCCTAATTAGCAGATTTACATGTTAACTCAATGCCCTTCTACCAAGTTGTTGTTGCCTTTTTACATGTAGCCATCTACTGTATGTAAACGTAAAATCCGAAGTTATTTTTTTGAAGATACTTACACAGATGACCATATATTCCATTTAGGACCGGTTGTTTGACTTCCTGAGGCTGATGGATGAATTGGTGTTTCCATCCTGTAAATTTGAAATAAAAGCGGACCAAGTTAATGGTTGTTGCTGTTTTCCGCTATGAAAAAACATGCAATATTTTGCAGTTGGAAAGCTTGATATGTCTTTTTACTATGATATAATAATACCTTCTATTTTCAGAAGAAGGGGTTGTCATGGGATGTTTGGCTGCACCATCTTAAGTTTCCTGCAGGTGAAAGAGAGACAAATTTTAGCAAGTCCAGCATAATATTTACGAGTTTATGTTTGGCGCAATAAAAGATTATTAGGTAATTACAAGTAAGTCTCTTTCATAAGCATTAATCAGATAAAAAGATAACTTACTTGCTATAACAAGTTAAACTTAAGTGATAATATGAGTAATACCTTAGATAAAGTTATTAGGAGGATTAGCACTTAGCAAATGAGAGATAAATAAGCAGAGGAAAGTAAGTACCACAGGAGTCTTTAGAGGAGTTATACACTTCTTCGCGGCATTGGGAGTGATCTTTGAACTTTCCTTCTTGAATGTGGGAGGGAGAGGAGGAGGCACCTTATCTGTCTCTTTGGAAGGAGTAAAATTCATCAATCTGCTCAAAGATTTCGAGGTTGATTTCTTTTCATTTGCGAACGCTGACGTGGGATTCTTTGTGATTAGAGTGAAATTGTTTTCTTTATTGACAAGACGAGAAATGTTATGCCTAGCTGGCGAAGGTGGAATTTTAGACTTTATAGAGTGAACTGATGATTTGAATGAAGAAAAAGCTGTTTTTTTCTTGCTCGTTGCAGATGTAACATCTTCGTCTTGCTTAGAGCTGGAACTCTGCTGGATCGATGAAAAAAATCAGTCTCCATACACTAGCATATTAATCTAGATCAATCAATCAGTTAATCAAACCATCAATTAATCAACTTCTCAATCTACTCTATATCTAATCCTCTCTACTAGAATCCATTTCATTCAGGTTAGACTCACACATTCAAGTTACTATTAACCAGACTAAAAAATTCTTGACACAATTTAATATGAGTGTAACTGTTGGGCAATGCCATCATCTTGCCTATGGCGAAGTCAAGTGATGGGCCGATATGGCCAGGGTCAGAGTCATGATCGAACATGATGCTTGCTTAATGAGTTTAGTTAAGAACTAAAGATTCACGTCATTTCTATCAGCTATAACGTTTGGCACGATGGTGATCATTTGATCCTAGCTGTAACAATAACATAGTACAACCTAGAATAGCAATTCAAGTAAAAACCATAGGAGTGAGTAGAACATATTTACCTTCAGCAAAGGTTTCTCTGTATGAGATGTTTCGCTAAGCTCTGATCCTGAAAATGTTTCTTGGGGTTGTTTCAATGAAGCTACACGCGCTAAAGACGTGACATTTTCTTTCTCCTTCACATCAGCAACTCCTTCCATTGAACTATTGACATTGGGATCCACTGCTAGAGTATCTTGTTGGGTATTTTCTTGTTCAAGCAAAGCCGCTGCCTTTTGGGCAGCAATTTTCTTGTAATGAGCTTCAAAGAAAGCTTTTTTCTGAGCAACAGAACCTGGTTGAGCATACCTCTCTGCTTCCTCAACATAACGCTTGTGAGGGAATGTAGACCATTTATCCCATGCCAATGACTCCGTCGTAAATCTCCCAAAAGAAATAGACTCCCCTAGAGCATGCATGTGGTTGCCCTGAATTTACAAGAAGAAAAAATAATTATCATAGTTCAGGATTCAGGGTTCGTGTGTTTACTTGTTTATATTTTGAATTGTCATGAAAATTCTAGCTCAGGTGCCCGGCCACCAAATAGGAGACTATAGAAAAACAAAGTAATAATACCTGTTTAGCTTCATTGGGTGGTAATGCAGAAGCATAAGAGAAGGCATGCATAAGACAAGCTGAATCTCCCATTACAGGACAAACAACAAAACAACCTGAAACAGTACTATAAAATGTTACTAGAAAAAATTACTAGGATTATTGTTCTGTTGTTGTTGTTGTTTTTCTCCCTTAATAATTATAGCATGTAATTTTTTTTCTCACACACACTTTTTATGGGTCTCTGAGCGTTTAAATTTGAAATTCAAATGGAAAAAAGTGTAAAAGAGGAACGTTGTTTAAAGGTGTAGGCCCCCTGCTTGCTGAGGCAAAAAGGAAAAAAGTGAATTCTGCTTGCTTGACCAAGACAGAAAGTTGAGGTCTTTTTCAGTAGAAGGTGGGGCCTTATCGTTCATACTTCAAACTTCAAAGTTTAGATTGGTTGGGACAATTTCTAGTGGCAGATGGTTTTCGTATTATGTTGCTCACGTTCATGAATGTTACATTGTAACAAAATGTATATATTATTGTTTCGTTTGCTGGATTATATTACGAGTAACAAGACATTTTATGTGAGTGTTTAGTAGATTTGTAATCATCATATTAAAGGAGTGCGCTTCTATGTGAAGCTCATATTTCACAGCAAGCAGAAGAAAACGTAAGGTTATGCCTTTTTGTTTCTCAAATGTCATGTGATTTGCAACAACAAATGCAACTGGCTGAACCACCAGTTGTTATAATGTCATATTTTCAAGTGAAAAACAGTAGCAACAGCATAGCATAGGAAAGCATCTGAAATTTACCAAAAAAGAAAGAGCCATATCAAATGGCTGGACCCAAACAAATGCTATTATTAGCAACTACTATAGTTCAATTGCTATTTTTTCACATGCTAGCAACATTCTAATTTGTACTTTCAAAATTCTAGACAGTGCAGTGACTGATCAGCTATATGTTGGTCGATGTGCAGAATCATTAGAAATAGTTTCAAGAATTTCTGTTTGCAAATAATAATAATAAAGGAAGAAAGCATATGCCAAGCTGTATTACTTCGCATTGAATTAAGAAATAAGCTGTTAAAATTGCTGGATATGGAGGATTCATAGAGGATTTCTGTTCAATAAGTAAAAAAGAGGCAATGATATGAGAATACAAGTCACCAAATTTGTTCTCAGATCTTCTTTATTTCCCTTTCTTGTTTCTCAATGATCGATTTCAGAAGTTAATAGTACAATTTTGAAACAAAATTAATGACCCATGAGAAATTAGTATCTTCCTTGCCATATTCATTGTTTTTGTCTATCGTCTCATCAATCTTGTCGTCGTAACATCTACACGCCTCATATTGAACAAGGCATCACAAAACCATGTCCATTTGTATCTCGTGATGTTTCAACAGTTCAGAGTTGCTTAACCTGCACATTTGCATCTCATACATCAGACTGTGCAGTAGTTCTCTTTTCCTTGTAATCCTTGCCTCATCTTTTTCAGTCCTTTATTGCCTCATTGCAACAACTACAGTAACAGAAACCAAACAGAGATTGAAAAGTTGCAAAACTTCATGCAATGGAATGGATATTTTAACAATCCAACGGGAAATGGAGTTGGAAACACTGTATGTCATATGCAAGTTCCATTGAATCCTTTGTTTCAACTGGAATTCTACTTTTGGGTGTTGTAGCTTCACTGGATACATCAAATCCACATTGTTTATAACATGCCACAAATTCGACTGCCCTTACAGCACTGATCAGTTTAGAGGCGGGTCACTGTCCTGCCACTTTGTGCATGTGCGAAGATTGTCTCCCAACCATAAGTACTGTAAATCATCCAGTTACCGTTAGTATATTCCTGGTGTGTTTAATAATCCCTTTTCTTCTGGGAGGATTCCTGCTTAGTCCATGTTTCTTTAGAGTTTTGTTGCTCCCTAGATGGTAGAGGTAGTCCCACAAAAAATGCCAGTCTTATGTAAGTCATCGAACAATAACCTAGAATGAAACCAAATAGATGAAATGACCAAAAAAAGCAAATGAGACTCCATCCTGAAGACACAAGTGCTTTTATAACCTCACCCCATAATTCCAATAGGTTCAGCAGATATGATTCCCACGTGTCGCCTCCCAAATATGACCTGATCCACAAGCACAAAAGAAGTGGAGAAATTTGAGTATTATAAGAACTCTTCAAAGACTAGATAAAGCTATATATAATAGTTTATCCTTGGTAACTGATTGAATGATAGCTCGCATAGCTTCATTTGAGCGCTATTATACAAATAGCCCAGTAATATTAGAACAGGATGATGAATTTTCCATTATGAAACAGCAGAAGTACTAATAAATCATCTAGGCATGGTGAAAACTAAATATTCATCTTAGTTACCTTCTCACCACCAACTAATCTGATCGTACTATCAACAGCTGGGCTACATATTTTCAAATACCCAGCTGACAAAATGTACACATCACTATTTTCGAACTCCACCTCTACCTGGAGAATATTCACCAGAGTAGACGACATGTCAGCCCAAGTTCTACAATAACAGAAGCACATAGTAAGCAAGCTTCCATATTCTAAGAGTTGAAGTGAAAATGCATAGAACACCTACCATTAGAGACTAAATTAGAGTAGATATCGGAGAATTTATCAAAAGAGCAGCATAATAGCTTTGACGTTTTAAATAACAGGCAAACCGGTATCAACATTGTGTACTTAAACTGACATCTTTGGTCCATTTAATATGGTTAATGATTATTTTTTTTTGATAAAGGGTTAATGAATTTTCTTGAGTATAATAGCATTCTTTCTATAGCAACACAATTACATAAAAAGGAAATTATTTTTGAAAAGCTCCAATCAGTTCAGAGAGTTGCCTAGTTATCAATTTTAAACCAAAAAAGTGTCTGGTAATTCAGGTTATACTTGAAACAGGCAAGATTAGAAGAAAATATAATTTTCAGTAAAATACACAACGATGGCCTGAAGGTTCACATGCCTCAAACATAAGCATATAATGCTAATAAGAGTGAAAGTTAAGCGACTTACTAAATTCATATGAAAAAAAGTGAAGTGGTGATTTACTGTGGGGTACATTTGTAAGCAATCAGCCCAATTTTTTTCTCGAGTCTTTAGAGACTTAAACAACTTACTCCTTAAGTTGAAATCCAAAGCCCAACATTAGTTTTCCAATGTCCATATTTTACTTTCCAAAGTAATCTAAATTCCTCATACAAGCATAATCACCATAAGCTTTTGTGTTAATCATCCAACGAAAAAAAGAAGAAAGCAAAGTTACTTTCTCGAGAAGAAGTATCATCAGTGTTCTATTTTAATATAATATCTATTGATTTTGCTGTAGCAATTGCACACGTCTAAGACATTGCAGTAATTCTCACTGCTCACAGATTTACTAGATTGACAGAAAGCAGATATATAGAAGTTAATACTACTGTTATTAAACACCCAGTAACTATTTTTTGGGTAAATTATTTTCAAGTGGAAGCTTTATAGTAAGTTTCGGTTAACCAAGTTATGAGTTGGCATAAACTTTAAACTAAAAGCAGGTCTCAAATGATTTTATTACAAAATATTAGGTATGATACTTTCAATATGCACACTTGTATGAATTATTTTTCTTAAGGGATTATCATTAGCTATTTGATTGTCCAGGTATGAGCTGATAACTCCAGCTAATATAGTTCTTGACAGTACACCAATTCATTCATTGGTCTTTGAGGCAACAGAATCAGCTCTCAAACTGCTATGAAGTCCATTTCCAGCAGTTTTTATCTTTGAAAGGAAATTACTGCTCTAATTAGACAAATACTAGTTAACTCCATCAAAATGATGCTGAGGAAAAGATAAGAACTTGAAGTTTTCTACACCATAAGCAAAGCTTAAAGTTAAAGGATCCCAACAATTCTACATTTTGGGTACTCAAAACTCCAAGAAAAGACATGGATAAACTTTGCAAACAATAAAAGGGCATTCCAGAGCACTAAGCTTCTGCTACTGGTCAGACGGAGGCAACTTGACCAGTTAAGCCAAGGTTCCCCTTCCAATAAACTCAGCAAATCCACAGAAATTTAATCTTGGTATTCATATATAAAGTTTTATCTTTTTTCTCTGAGTTCATTTGATTTCAATAGTAGAAAGAATAAAAGGAACATATAGGAGGAGAAAATCAATAGAAAGACACGTACAAACTTAGGAGAGTGAAGAGCAAATCTGGTGAGCTGTGGGCAATTTGCAGCAGTCCGTAAGCTTCGTATAGCTCCCCTTTAAAAAAAAAAAAGGTAATTTGCCTACAACCACTTGCACAATAGAATATCATTTGTATTGACTATACTTCAAAACAACAATCAAACATCCCCAGCAAATCAATGATACATATATTATCTACTTTTTGTCAATGAAAATTGAAGGATTTCCATAACAAACAGAGTCAAATGATAATGGGAAAAGCCTCTGTTGGGACATGTGTTCAAAAGGGAAATCCTCTGTACAATTGTTTCTTGGAGGATTCTGCCAACCTTCTAACACGTTTAACTCCTGTATAGTACTCCATCAATTCATGAGCCACATCTTCTGGATGGCAATTTATAAAGGCCTTGATGAACCGCTTTTCTGTCATTCTCATTGCTCTTAACAATGAAGGACCTTTCACTCGAGGAACCAGACCCATATCATCTAGCTTTGCCCCTAATAAATACCTTGGCTTTATGGCAGTCTCCAAATTCAGGAACAGCAAACACGGGTTATCTTGAACCAAATTTGCAGAAAGCTTCATTGTACCCAATATATAAGTCATGTTTCTCTGAACCTTATCAACAGACAATGTTAACAAAAATGGAGACCTTCCAAAAAGCCTAAAGACTTCATCTTCAGAAAACCCATGTTTCTCCAAATTAGCCACCTTCTGACGGATAGTCTCGGACCGCGAAATAGCAAACAACGCAACCACATGTTTATACATTGTAGTACCCTTTTCCACACCGGTTCTTCGAATAAAATCCATCTTCTCATCATCCAAAGAGGTTCTTGGTATCAGAGTTGGTCGAGCTAAAAGCATGGAAACTAACTCACTTCTGCTAAGACCCAATTGTTCATAAAATGCAACAATTGGTTTAATCTGCTTATGGAAGTCATAAGTAAGCAAAGACGGATTTCGAACAATGGCCTTAAGAAGAATTTCTTTAGTACCAAACAAAGTCTGGAAAAACTCAAGGCGTTCTTCCAAGCAACGATTAATCCGACAATCAAGGAAACGAGGACGGCAATTAATAATCCTGGTGAGATCAGAGGATGGTAAACCTAACTCACTAAGTATTTTGAGCTTTGAGTCAAGTAGTTTGAGTTCCATTCTTTGCAAAGACGGGCGTCGCTGAAAAATCTTGGAAATGTCATCGTCAGTGCAACCCCATTGCTTAAACAAATCTGCTGAGTCTTTGGGAGTACTACTGAGTTCTTCTTCAGTTTGGTCTTCTGGAGATTTTTCAGGAGAAGGCAAGACAGCAGCTACAGTGAGGAATCTGAATGTGTTAGGGTTTAAAGGATTTAGGGTTTTAGAATTGAAAAACAAGAAACGGAATTGGGTAAAAACATTGAACTTAGCTGCTTTCATTATTAGGGCAAAACAGAGCAAAAATGAAATCTGTAAGATTTTTGGTCAGAATGGAGGAGACGATGTACGTTCGGTATGAATTGGGCCGGGTACCCGATATAGTTGTTTTGGACAAAGTGCACAAACAGCCTATTTCAAGCCCCTATTTCAGACATAGCCAAAGTTCCTATATTATTGCAAGTTTAGCCGCTTTCAAATAAACTTCAGTTGGGCCGAGTCTGAAGTTCAGACATAGGCAAGTGTGTTTACAACATCAACGTATCTAGTGAAATCCACAAAGGGTATGTGGAGGATAGAATGTACACAACCCTTACCACTACCTCATGGAGATAGAGAGGTTATTTTCAAAAGATTTTCGGCTCGAGTACAACAAATCCAAACAATGTAGAAACATAGTAACTACAAAGTGAACAACAAAGTAGTAGGATAATCGAAACACAACAACCAACTGACAATGTGAGATGTCTAAAGTAAGAACTACAATAATACGATTAGTACAAAGTAAAGCAGTGCAGAACATATATGCAAGGTGTGAATCACCTAAACACATGAACAAGTGCTATTAGGTACCAAAAGGCTAGTAATAAGACAACTCTTAACTACCTACTAACTTTCTACCCTTATCCACGACCAAGGCCATGTTTAAGATGCGTCATATCATGTCTAATCACCTCTACTCAATACTTCTTTGGATATGTAGGTGTGTTTACTTTTCAATACTAGCATGTATTTATTAAGCTTCTCATTTTTCCTAGGGAGGTAATTGAATGTGTTGAAAACATGTTGGATCATTTTGTTCATAGGATGAAAACTCTCTCATATGAGAGTGAAAAAGAAAAAAATGACTCATAAGTTAGCAAGATATTCAATTGTGAGTTTACTCTTATTGTGATCTCACATGTTATTTTTGCTCAAGTAGTACTCTTTTACAGTTCTCCAAGAAAAATCATTTCTTTCGCGGAAAGTTTAGTAAACACTTTAGCTGGATTGTTCTAAGTTTTGGATTATCAATATGTATTTTATATTCCTAATTATATCCTTTATCTTTGTTTCTTTTATCCTTTAGTGAATATTGGCATGCAGAATGTTTTGTTCGTTAGGTGAGATTATACTGGATATATATGTTGTTGTTGTAAAATGTTTTGTTCTTTTTAGGTGGTTAGGATCTGATTTCATTTGTGCATAATGTAGTCAGATAATTGTGTTTCATTAAGATGGAACCCGCTAATATGTCCAACGTTCCTGCTGCAATGATGAGAGGTTATTCCACCTGGAACAAAAGGATCAAACCTTCCACACCCCAAATTTACAGGTTGTACTTTTTCCATTAGTCCACAAGAATCAGACACCATGCAAGCATGTTTCATGAAATGCACCATAACCAAAAGAATTCCCAAGATCTTTGGCGAACTCTCTGTGCATACAAAGTTCATTGTTCGTGGATGAATCTAATTTAAAAAGTTGAAAAAGAGAGAGGATACTTTACATTATTTCTTATGTATTGTCTTGCATATCACAGGTCCACTATAATTCTCGACGTTAATCCATAGTCGCAGCTAATGTCATTTGGGTTTTACTTATTAACACTCATTACCATAAGATGAGTAAAAAATTCTGCAGCAGCTTAGGGTTTTTATTCACTTTTTGACTCTGAAGTCACTTGAGCCTACCAGTAATATCATAGGTACTGAAGCGAAATGAATAAGCAGCCAGAAGGGGTAGTTTCTAGTAGGGAAGTTTAACTTATTGAAATTACTGGTCTCTGTAAAATATTTTTATGTTCCATGTCCTCTAACACAAATGTTGTTAATGGCTGTTGATGACATGGCCCTCAAATTCGCTCTAGCTAGAGCAAGAGCATTCCTCTACTGCTCATCAGAGCGTCATGTCCTAAATGTCTCCTCGTGAATACTCCTCTCTCTGCAGTTGCAATGCCCAGGCAGCATCCTCATCCTGGCTTGGTGGTAATTCTATACTTGTCCTTAAACTAATATCTCCGTTTCTTGCTGGATTTTGATGCTGACCTTCTTTACTATTTAAATCTCCAGCTTCTTGTCTTGATTCTACTTCTTTTGGAAATAGTAGTTGAATTGTATTCCAAAGGACTGTGTTCACAGTGCAAGATCCTCCATTGCTGCAAAAATCATGTGTTACGATCACACATCAATTCTAAAAAGTTCTGAAATTTCGCAAACCTACAACAACATACTCAATGTGATCGCACAAGAAGGTTTTGGGGAGGGTAAGATGTATGCAAACCTTACACTACCTTTTTCTGGGTAGAGAGGTTGTTTCGGATAGACCCTCAAAGTTTGGCAAACCTCACATAAATAATTAGAGGTGTCATCTCTCTGTACATGTAACCTTTTAACTTATAAGGCTAATCATTATTTTCTTATCAAATAAAATCTACCCCTCCAGCTTTATAAAAGTATTCAGAAATGCTAATATTATACTCACTCTATTTCAATTTATTTGTCTGGTTTTGACTTGATACGGAATTTAAGAAGGTAAAGAAGATTTTGAATCTTTTAGTCTTAACAAAAGGTACGTAGAATATACCAAAATGTCCTTTAATGTTGTAGTCTTAAACATTCACATAGAAAATTAAAATTAAAGAGTTCCCAAAAAAAGAAAGAGGACATTCGTTTTGAAATGGACTAAAAGGGAAAGTAATACAAACAAATTGAAACGGAGGGAGTACCTGATAAGCTGTCTGCACTTGGGGCATCGCGTCCCACATATGTCTGCAGCAGATTGCAAACACTTTCTACAGAAACTATTATAGACAAATAAATCAGAACATATAATTGGAAATTTCTTCTGAGTATTGTTGTATGAATCTGAGTTGATGTGAATGCCAATACCTGTGTCCACAAGGAGTGGTACTCGGTTCAAAACATATCTCCAAACAGATCTGCAAATACAATTGAACAACTCGAAGTTGAAACTGGAAATGTCAATAAAAAGGCATCAGGATCCAAGACTGGACACTAAAACTCTTACGGCACAAGAAAGTTCTTCACGAAGTGGATCCATGCACAGAATGGCTGAACCAGAAGAGGAAACACAGGAGTCCTGTTCTTCTGATGCTTCAACTCCTTCTCCAGTGAATCTTTGCTCTTTCTTTTCAATTTCTGCTCAAAAGTGAAATGAAATTATTTTACTACTTATAGCTTTGTAAACATGTTGAGATTAAGATTCTCATTGGATTTTGGCCCTGGCTTCTATTACAGAACCTTAAATGAAATTTTAGTATTAGAGAACCTTAAAAGTTTGTCTCAAATGGTTGAGGCTCAGAATGGAACAGTTCCAAAATTGAACAAAATGAATATTAAGAATTCATACAAAAGCCTCGCCCTATCAATATAGTCCCAGTTATCCCAGCAAGCCACCAACTAATTTGGGGAAGCAAAGTAGTACTCCAATGTCTCAACGTATGTGACAGGCTTTCTTTTTTAATCTTTCTAAAAAGAATGTCCTCTTTTTACTTTTAATGAAATAATTTATAGTCACACGAATAGTCGAGCAGTGTTTAACACCATACATTTCAGAGGGCTCTTTTTTCTTAAATTTTATGTCAAATCAAAAGGTGTCGTGTAAATTGGGATGGAGTGAAGTAGTAGACTACTGGTTGTAACCATCTTGGGTTGTGGTGCACTGGTGAGATTGCTTCACCCTTAATCAGAAGTCTCGGGTTCAAACCCTGGGTATGGAGAAAATTCTGGAGCGCCACCCCCGAATGGGACCTGCAGAGCGCGATCCAGATTTAATCGGAGCTCCAATGTGGGTTCTAGACAACGGGTGGGAAACCAAAAAAAAAAAAGACTACTGGTTGTACATATTGGCAAATCATAACACCAAAGAATTTAGATTTGACCAAAAATAAAGGGAACCTGTTTTTGCAGTGTCATCATCATCAAGATCAACAACAGCAATGCCTACGGAAGCAGGGCTTGTCCTTCGTTTCCTATAAAGATCAAAAGTTTATGAATTTCCAATTACCCTCATAAAAGAATTGCGGAGAATTTAATCAAATCAAGTTCAATTCGACAGCACAATTACCTTCTGGAATTCGTAGGTGGAGTCACAAAATGCTGCAAGCCAGTAAGTTTCTTTTGTTTATGCTGTCGATCAGGAGTTTCTTCCACACCAAAACTAGCTATCAGAAGTGCCTCTTCGTCCCAACCCGCCATTGCAGCCATTGATTTGAATCTTGGGCTGAACAACTCCTCGCGTTTTTCTCCATTAACAGGACTCTTCTTCAACTCTTCATTCACCATTCTGTATTGAGATTCCCCTGTTTCTTTGAGGAACCTAACTTTGATTGCTCAGATTTGTAAGTAAATATTTATTTCAAATGAATTTATTTTGAAGTGTATTTACAAAGCCAAATGTTTAGTGTGTTGGAGAAGTTTTTTCTTACTAGGAAAGTTGGCAACTGAAAGAGAAGTATTGGCATTTTGAAAGTCCTTTGTGAGGACAACTTCTTTTGGTTAGTTTCATCTTTCTTTAAATAGCTTTCAATTCCATCTTTCAAATGCAATGAATAACAGCAAGAAAATAATACTCTCTTTTTTTTTTCTGGCCTCTCGGCCCCTCTCTCTCTTTTAAACTTGGATTAATTACAAAATTTGACTTTGTTCTTTTTTATTTCGCCACTAATAACTTGCTTGTTGATACTCCCTTTTTTCTAATAAATTGTTCAATTTTTTCTTTTTTTAGTTATCCTTAATTACTGACAAATCAGAAAAGAATTTTTTTTTTTTATCACTTGTCTATTAATACTCCCTCCATCCAATAATAATTATTCACTATACTATTTTGGGATGTCCAATAATATTTGAGCACTTTATGAAATCAATGGATAATTTTATAATTAGTTTCTAATTTACTCTTATCATTAATTATAGTTTTTTCTTTATTACATTTTTTTAGACATTGTATTTATTATACTCCATTTGTCCCTAATTACTTGTCCATTTTTTAATTGACACATATTAAGAATACAATGATTGACATAGTGAGTTTACCATTTTACCCCTATTAATTATGAAGTGGATGAATTAAAAACTTAAGATTTTTATTAAGTTCGACATTTTTCAAAGTAATTAATTGAGGGTATAATAGGTAAAAAGAATTTGTCCTTTCTTGATTTGTCAAAATGGACAAGTAATTAGGGACAACTAAAAAAGGAAAAATAGACAAGTAATTAGGGACAGAGGGAGTATTTCAAAGGGTGATATAGTAAAAATACTCTTCTATTTATAGTTTCTTAAGAAGTGTGCAAAGTCAAAAGTGGACAATTATTGTTGGATAGGAGTAGTATATTGTTCTTCAACCATTGTGGATAGTAGAAAATATATTTTCTTTTTGTGAGAATAGGGAGGCACAAAAAATCTATCTTCTAATTCTTCCGTCTATACTTAGTTATGATGGGTTTTCTTTTTAATCTTTGTTACACTAGAAGAGCTTGTTGAATCTTGAGAATCTTTAAGAACAATGTTTAACACGTCTAATGAAGTATTTTCCGTAAGATTTTCGTCAGTTTTAGTCTTGCCGTATTTAATACACGTGACCTTAGATTATATAAAAAATAAATGAGTTTAGTCCTCAATACATGCAAATTATGACCTCCCTAACTAACTCGTAAGCTATCCAAACTAGAGTTCTCAAAGGCTTGAGTAGTTATGTCGTGCCATGAAGTCATTTTCATGTTCAATTTTAGAAATTCAATACTTGCATAATCACGAACCTATCGTGCTATATGACAAAAAAGTTAGTCATAGCACGCGACATTTTGCAAGATTGAGTACTTTAATTTCCAACTAAACATGGTTCGTGAGGGGTGGAGGGTTGTGGGGTTAGGGGTGAAGGCAGGGACGGAGCTAAGTGGGGGTTCGGACGAACCCAACAGCTTTTCCGTAGACCTTGTATTTGTACTAGAAAATTAAGTAAATATATATGTATTAACTTGTGAACCCCTAACAAAACTGTTGACAACTCAATGCTTAAGGAAATGGAAGAAAATTTAGAACCCCCAAACAGCTAATATTGGCTCCGCCCCTGAGTGAAGATGGAGTGATTGTAGATATATCGAGTGTTGCATCTGGCATGTGGAGGTAATAAGCAAATTTCTATGGCGAAGTCAGTGATGGGCTGCTTTCATTATTAGGGTAAAAACATTGAACTTGGTTGCTTTCATTATTAGGGTAAAAACATTGAACTTAGTTGCTTTCATTATTAGGGAAAAGACAGCAAAATGGAATCTGTAAGAATTTTAGTCAGCATGGGGAGACGATGTACGTTCGGTATGAATTGGGCCGGGTACCCAATGTAGTTGTTTTGAACAAACTGCGAAAATAGCCTATGTCCAGCCCCTATTTCAGACATAGCCAAGGTTCCTATTTTCTTACAAGTTTAGCCGTTTTTAAATCAATAGACTCGAGTTCAACAAATCCAAGTACAAGGAAGAAGGAAACAATGTAGAAACATAGCAACTACATGGTGAACAACAAGTAGTGCGATAATCGAAACACAGGAAGCAACTGACAATGCGAGATATCTAAAGTAAGAACTACAATAATACGGCTAGTACAAAGCAAAGCTGTCCGGAACATATATGCAAGGTGTGAATCACCTAAACACAAGAACAAGTGATATCAGGAACCAAAAGCCTTAGACAACATGCATAGGATAAATCTTAACTGCCTACTAACCTTCTACCTTTATTCGTGGCCTGCTACCCTCTATAGGCTGAAGATGCGTTATATCATGTCTAATCACTCTCTCCAATATTTCTTTGGATAGGCAGTCGTGTTTCCTTTTCAATACTAACATGTATTTATTAAGCTTTACCTTCTCATTTTTCCTATTGATGTAATTGAATGTGTTGAAAACATGTTGGATCCTTTTGTTCATAGGATGCCAACTCTCTCATATGAGAGTGAAAAAGGAAAAACTGACTCATAAGTTAGCAAGATTTTAGTTGCAAGTTTCCTCGCGTTTATTTTTTTCCTCAAGTAGTCTTTTATAGTTCTCCAAAAAAAAATCATTTCTTTGAACAACATTACCAGGGATTTGCTCTATTATATGGTCGAGCAACATTTTCGAACTTAATTTTTCTTTTGTGGAGGCGTTAGTGAAGAGTTTTGCTGGATTGTTCTCAGTTAGGGATTATCAATATGAATCTTATATTCCTACTCTTTTATTAGTTTATTGGCAGGCAGAATATTTTGTTCTTTTAGGTAGTTAGAATCTGAATTCATATGTAGATAATGCAGTCACATACTTGTGTTTCATTGTGTCATCAACATATTCATTGAATTCTCCGTGCATACAAAGTTTGTTCATTGGTGGATGAAACTAATTTAAAGAGTAAAAAAGTTCGTTCATTAGTGGCTCCACATTAGGAAATCTAACTCTATGTTCCTCGCCCTCTAACACGAATGTTGTTAATAGCTGTTGATGCCATGGCCCTCAAATTTGCTCTGGCTAGAGCAAGAGCATTTTTATACTGCTCGTCAGAGCGCCTTGTCCTAAATGTCTCCTTGTGCTCCTCTCTATGCAGTTGCAGTGCCAATGCAGCATCCTCATCTTGTCTTGGTGGTGATTCTCTCCTTGTACTTGTGCTAATGTCTCCATTTCTGCTTGACGTCCCAGAAGGCCTCACATTTTGTCTTCTCATAGAGTGAGAGTTCCTTTGTTGTGCATTTTGAGATCCAGAATCTGGACTATGTAACGCTAGGATCCTATCTATTCTTCTTCTTGAAATAGAGTGAAAGTTCGTTTGCTGTGGATTTCGAGATCCAGAATCTGGATTATGTAATGATGCTAGGGCCCTATCTGTTCTGCTTCTTGAAACATTAGAATGACTGGCAACAATTCTTGCTGGATTTTGATGCTGAACTTCTCTACTATTTAAGGCTCCAGCTGCTTTTCTTGCTTCTACTTCTTTAGGAAATAGTAGTTGAATTGTATTCCAAAGGACTGTGTTTACAGTACAAGATCTTCCATTGCTGCAAAAATCATGTGTTAAGATCATCTCACATCAATTCTAAAAAGTTTGAAATTTTGCAAACCTCAAATGAATAATTAGAAGTATCATCTCTGAAAATGTGACCTTTCAGATAGAAATTACAAGGCTAATCATTCTTCTCTTGTTTAAATAAAATCTCCTCCCCCTCCAATATTATAGTCCCTCCATTTCAATTTGTTGGTCTGGTTTAAGAAAGTAAATAAGACATTTTTTAATCTTATGGTCTTAAGCTAAAGATATGTACGAATGTACGAAAATGTTCTTGAGTTGTCAAAAAAAGGAAGAGACATTTTTTTGAAACGGACCAACAAGAAAAGTAAAACAAACAAATTGAAATGGAGGGAGTACCTGATAAGTTGTCTGCACTTGGGGCAACGCGTCCCACATTTGTCTGCAGCAGATTGCAAACACTTTCTACAGAAACTATTATAGACAAATAAATCAGAACATATAATTGGAAATTTCTTCTGAGTATTGTTGTATGAATCTGAGTTGATGTGAATGCCAATACCTGTGTCCACAAGGAGTGGTACTCGGTTCAAAACATATCTCCAAACAGATCTGCAAATACCATTGAACAACACTCTAAGATGAAATTGGAAATGTCAATAAAAAGGCCATCAGGATTCAAGAATGGACACTCAAACTCTTACAGCACAAGAAAGTTCTTCACGAAGTCGATCGGTACACAGAATGGCTGAACCAGAAGAGGAAACACAAGAGCCGTGTTCTTCTGATGCTTCAACTCCTTCCTTATCTCCTTTTCCAGTGAATTTTTGCTCTAGCTTCTTTTTCTCATTTTCTGCTCAAAAGTGTAATGAAATAATTTTATTACTTGTAGCCTTGTAAGTTGTAACATGTTGAGATTTAGATTTACTCATTGGATTTTGGCTATTTGAGAACCTTAAATGAAACTTTAGCATTGGAGAACCTTAACTTTGTCTCAAATGGTTGAGGCTTAGAATGCAACAGTTCCAAAATCGATAATAAAAATTCATACAAAAGACTCGCCCTATCAATTTAGTCCCATTTTTTTCAGCGAGCCACCAACTAATTTGGGGAAGCAAATTAGTACTCCACTGTCCAAATTTATGCGACATGCTTTCCTTTTTAATATATCCCTTAATGAAATAATATGTAGTCACACAAACCGTGAGGAATGTTTAAGACTACGAATTTCAAAAGTGTTCTCTTTTTCTTAAATTTTGTGTCAAATCAAAAGGTGTCCGGTAAATTGGGATTTGAAAAAAGATAAGAGAACCTGTTTTTGCAGTGTCATCATCATCAAGATCAATAACAGCAACACGTATGGAAGCCGGGCTTCTCTTCTGAGCCCTTCGTTTCCTAGAAAAAACATAAATTTGAGCATTTCCAATCACCCAAATAGAAGTATTTCCCAGAATTTAATCAGATAAAGTTCAATTTGACAGCTTAATTACCTTCTGGAATTCGTAGGCGGAGTCACAAAATGCTGCAAACCAGTAAGTTTCTTTTGTTTATGCTGGCGATCAGGAGTTTCTTCGACAACAAAACTGGCTATCAAAAGAGCTTCTTCGTCCCAACCCGCCATTGCAGCCACTGATTTGAATCTTGGGCTGAACAACCCCTCGCGGTTTTCTCCATTAACGGCTTTTGGATTTTTGGGACTCTTCTTCAATTCTTCATTCACCATTCTGTATTATGATTCCCCTTTTTCTTAGAGGAAACAAATTTTGATTGCTCAGATTTGCTTGAGAGAAAATGGATGCAGCTTTTTGGCATTAACGGTAATATTTCCAATGTAACGGCTAGTTTTTTTTTTTTCTTTCACGTTTTGTCCTTGTGGTTTAGGTTAACTCTAGTTTTATATAGTACATTTGACCTTAGATTCTATAAAACTAATGAGTTTAATCCTTAATTCATGCAAATTACGACCTTCCAAACTAACTCGTAAGCTAACCAAACTAGAGGTCTCCAAGGCTTGAGTAAGTAATTATGTTGTGCCATGAAGTCCATTTTCATGTTCAATTTTAGAAATATGCAATATTTGCAAAATCGCAAACCAATTGTGTTATATGACAAAATAATTAGTCATAAGTTAACCCACAACATTTTGCAAGATTGACTACTTTATTTTCCAACAAAACATGGTTCGTGAGGGGTGGAGGGTTGTGGGGATAGGGATGAAGGTGGAGGGATTGTGGATATATAGAGTGTTGCCGACTCAGAGGCGAAGCCAATATTAGAAGTTTGGGGGTTCTAAATCAATTTGTTTGGGGGTTCACAAGTTAATATACATAAATTTTTTTAATTTTCTAGTACAAATATAAGGTCTACGTAAAATATCACTTACGAAACCTTTTTAAAAACAGGACTTCTCGCAAGAAAAATTTTAACTTGCAATGGTTATTTTTTAACCTCCAACTGCAATTTATGAGTGAAGTAGTTTGACGACAGTTTTTGACCTCCATTTATCACTTTCAAGTAAAAAAATGATCAATGAAAATATCTTTAAGAAAAAAATATATACGCACAAGAACTTTCTAAGAGAAAATTGTGAATTTTATTCAGTTTTTGCCAATATAATCAAACATAGATTAGTAGGCCAACTTATGCGTACCTCCACTAGTTTCAAGGGTATCTATAGAGGTCCTTTTACTTTTCCCTAAATTTTCCAAGGTTTGCCTATTACAAACAAAGAACAACATGATCAATGTAATCTGACGAGTAGGTTCTAAAGAGAATATGGGGTAGAGAAGTTTCCGATAGACTCCAACTCGAAGAAGTGTAATCAAAGTTAGAAGGTTTGCCTATTATTGCCTAGTGGAAATGAAAATTCAACTGTCAATTGTCTTAGCAGAACAGCTAGCACACATTCACCAGCAGATATGTCTTCTCTGAGAAGCTTAATGGCCAGCAATGGTAAATTCAAAGAGTAAGGTCATTCGACATTGTGTGCCTTTATCCAGAAGATTATCTACAGAAACATTTCATACCAAACATACATGTGATAATACAGACTAGAAGGAAAACTAGATGCAAAAAAAATAATCTTAAAGCTACCTGAAGAATGATGTTCTTTCAAACTCATCACTTGTAAATCCAACAAAAAGAATACCAAATTAACTCCAGCTACTCCTGCACTTGCAGAATATAAAACCTTGAAGCGCTGTCACGCAATTCCATATGTACAGTCGTTGCATTGGAACCCAAATAGAGCCAGTATCCATCTGTTCACTGAGAGACCTGGGAAAGCAACTTTAAGGAAAGTATCATGGTATGAACAAACAAGGAGACGTGACTCATCCACCTCCTTTGAGACAATTCCCATCCTCGATTAGCATAGAGGTCAGCTCATCAAGGTTGAAGTAACATTGAGACATATACCAGTCTCTAGCCTGTGGATGAATTGGGAGTTATCCTATGAGAAACTAGCACTGGCTCATTGCTAGCAGCTTTCATTGCTGCAATCTCCTCTAACCGTTTCCAAGTCATTTCACGTTTTGTCTTGTTCTCTTCTTCATGAGCCTGATCTTCTTCAAATTTGCGCAAACATTCTTCAAAGAGTTCAGGATCAACATCAGAGAAGATTTTGCGGACATTCAATGTCAAGCTTTGTACTGCCTGATTCCAGTGGCCTCTCGCATTCTTTTCCAAGGCAGGAAAAATTATTGGTAATATAACTTTACGATTTTGTTTGATTAGGTTCTCAACATGATCATTGTTCCACAGGAACAAAGCCCTCTCAGCCACCTGTCAATGCAAAGATTTGAACACAGTGAAAATGAAAAACAATTTGTCACATGGGGAGAAGGAGAAGGGGGGGTGAAGGAAGCTGCAGATGTATATGACCAAATTGATCTGTTCTATCTCATTCTACCAAATAACCACACTACATTTTTTTGGTAACAAATGTAAATATTACCGTTAACAACCAAACCAATACACCTAAAGAGCACCCAACTCCACAACTACCTTCTAGGAAAGGGGTAGGTGAGTTAAGCCTCCAATATATCTCCTAATTACATGAAAAACTGTTGAATTAAAGAGCCACATCTTTGGTCTTTCCTAGTCTTTCTAACCATATCTAATCTAACACTGAAACTTAGGTTAATCTGTGTATTGTTGTAACTGTAGTCACACTACATCATATGTCCATTTATCATTGGTTTTATTATAATCATAAATGTTAGAGCATATACTTGTCCCTTATTGGTCGGGTAAGTGTCTTTAAAAGGATTTATAATGTCCTGGGTCACTCCACTAATAGTGTCACGGTTTTGAGTTTGATGCTCAGATTTAGTTCATACAATATTATAGCAAGCCTAGGTAAGCCCATTTCACAACCATCTTCTTCTCTCTACCTAGGGTATTGCTCTGTCTTCTCTTTCAAACTCAAACCATCAAGCCGCTTTGGGATTCTCTCAATTCAGTTCAATCCATCGAGCCACTAACTTTGCTCCACCACCCACTCCTTAGACTGTTAAGCCTACTCTCTGTCTCTCACTCTCTCTCACTCTCTCTCTCTCTCTCTCTCATCCACTACTAGAAATAGAGTTTTTCCCACCGCAAATCAATGGGAAATTAGTGCTATAAAACATGATTTTCCCACTGAACCAACTCACTGGGAAACGGATGGTGGGAAACAAATTCTCGCTGGAACAACTGGGAAGCTTCCTAATTTTTACACTACTTTTTCTTTTCTCACTGATTCTATCAAAATATTTGTATGAATAATAGCCACTAAACAAATTTCAGTGGAAAAATAGTTATTTTTTAGTAGTGATCTCCAGGCCCACTTCATCTTATTGAGCCTACTCTCTAGTCTCTCCTACTGCACATCCACCCTCATCCTACTGAGCCTGATCTCTCCATACAAAAGGTCCACTCTTCAAACAAATATTAAAAAGGAAGTTTTCAATCCACGTGTAACGTGAGAGAGTGTTGGAGCATACACTTGTCCCTCATCGGTTATCTGTTATATAATGGTTCCCAAAGTAGTTTATAAAGCCGTGAGCCGCTCCACTCATTGCCATAAGGTTTTGAATTGTATGCTCAGATTATGTTGGAGGGTGACATTCTATCAGGTTATCCTAGAAAGTAACAACAGAGAAGACACGCCATCTCTAGCCTTGGCCAAAATAAAAGCAGCAGGTTAGAGTGTCTAAAGGAGAAACGAAATCGATTTGATCAAGACAGGTGAATCCATGATTTGAACTTTATGGATTCGAGTTCAAAATTCAACCACAAACCATTTGGTTTACTGGGTTCAGAATCTATTATTTGTACTTATTTAGTGAATTATTCTTATATATATACATAGCCTGAGCTAAAGCTACTGGATTCAGATGAACTCATAATTCTAACACTACATCAGCCGCTGGATCAGGAGACATGACCAAATCCTGTCTGGTTTATAACACATAGAAATGCCATGGAAAACAATTTGGGGTGCAGAATTGAAAAACTCCCAACTGTTTACCTAAGTACGCCACTTGGAAATAACCATAAAGAGCTAGTGATATGGGATGGTATAATTGCAAAAACTGAGAAGAAACTGGCAAACTGGAAATCTCAATATCTATCCTTTGGTGGGAGAACCATTCTGATAAACTTTGTACTAGACTCTTTAACTTATGTTATGTCCCTATTCCCTATGCCGGCCAAAGTGGAAGAAAGACTTGATAAATTACAATGGGACTTCCTTTGGTCGAGAATCAAGGTAGGTAAAAGAATACATCTTGTCAAATGGCAAACTGCTTTGCTGAGTAGAAGCTTTTGGGGAGGGGGGGGGGGGTGTGGGTTGGCAAAATGGTTGTGGAGTTTGGAAGAGAGGATTAAGCACTTTGGGAGGAAGTAATCAGTAACAAGTACGGCCAGAACAGCCCATGGGTTTCCAATATGGTGAATATCCCGTATGGTGTCTATCTATGTGTGAGAACTATCAGAAATTTATGGCGTCAACTATAGCACAACAGTAGATACAAAGTGGGGGATGGGACCAGGGTTCTTTTCTGGAAAGATCACTGGATTGGTCCGGACTCTTTGATGTCTTCCTATCCAGATATATAGACCCTCAGCTCTTCTCCAGATGCTATGGTAAATGAGATATGGTCTGAACAAGGGTGGAATTTAAGCTTCATAAGGTTACTAAATGACTGGGAGATAGGGAGAGTAGCCAAGATGCTACAAACACTAGATGATTTCAAGGGTACAAATCTGGAAGTTGATTCAATGATTTGGAAACACAATCATGATGGTATCTTGTCAGTCAGCAGATTGTACAATAGGAAAGTGAAGGAACTTCCAGGGGAAATCTCTGGACCATGGAGTAAGGTATGGAAGAATAAAGTTCCAACTAAAGTGAGGCGTTTTCCATGGCTAGTGGCTAGGAGGGCATGCCTAACTCATGAGAAGCTGCAAAGAAGAGGCATTGAAATAGCTTCTTGGTGTTCACGGTGTAATGAGACAAATGAGACTAACAGCCATCTATTCCTCCATTGCAAAGTCACTGCTCAACTATGGGCCTTTTTCTAAGCAGAACACCACACAAACTGGACAGTGCCAGAACACACCGCAGACCTTCTTAGTTGTTGGGTGAGGAAAGAGGGGAGTAAGAGCCAGAAGAAATAGTGGAACATGATACCCTCTTGTATATGGTGGACTATTTGGAGAGAGAAACAAGAGGTGTCTTGAAATTACTGCAGAATCAGTACAAATGATCAAATGGCATTGTATGAAGACTCTCTTTTTTTTTGTGTAAAGAGGAGGGTATAGAGGATGCTGGACAGATTTTAAACCTTTTTTTCTTCTTTATAAGTTTAGTAGCAGCTTTCTTCAGTTGTTTTTTTTTTGGGTCACTGATGTAAATCTTTTTGGTGGTTGCCAGCATACCCTCATTGCTGATGAATACAACTTTACCTTTATCAAAAAAAAACCTATATTATGCTAGTAGCATGTTGCAATAGGACAATTCATGCAGTTCTTACAACCTCTGTTGATCGTTCTTGTTTGCAAATACATATGTGGTCCAGTTGCTTGGAAGTATTCAATATGAGTACATGAATGTTTTTGATAACTTAGAGTAAAATGAAAAATTTGCACAAAGCACACTCATCGGGCACGGGTATGTCGGGACAAATGAAGGATTCACGCAAACATAGCTTATAACTTGAGTGATTGTCATATTCATCATGTGAGTTGATGCATCACAGTTCAATTGTAGTACACCCATTTATTATCCAAACCCATTAGAAAGTTGTCCTAGAAGCTTCAGAGTTTTGTGTCTGTGTGGGGTAAGAAAATCCAACAGCCTGCGTTTTTCTAAGTTCTACAGCATTCGCTTGCCTGAATTTGCAAAATACTATATTGAATAATGATCAAATGAATATTTTGTACCATTCTTTTCCTAGTACATCCAGTTTGTCCATATATATTCACGTGATCACGTCAAGTATTAGTGGTCACAAAGTTTGGATTTCAAACTATACAGAATTATCTTTCAAGCAAACCTGTACTTCTGATTGCTACGGAATACAGAGTGAACTTTCTGTCATGCTTTTTAAATTTAATTCCTATCAGACCATGCACATAATTTTTTTTTGATAAAAGTAAAGTTGTAATCTTCAGCATTAAGCATATGTTGGTCAGCCCTTGCACATAATTCTTACTAACATGTTCTTAGTGATCATAAGCCACAATTGTTTGGTGATTTCAGCAACTTTTAGCTTATTACAAACCTTTTTATGAGGTAGCTAAATTTACGAAGCATAGCAAGATTCAGTCTAGTGACCCATGAATTCTTTTAGGAATGAAGAAATAACAGAAAAAAGAATGTACCAAATCAACCAAAAAACCAACCTGAAAGTGTGAGCTGCTCAAGCAACGATTGATCCGACGAAACAAGGGAACCATACAGCGCTGGAACTCTGGAGGCTGAGTTGCTTCTAAGACCTCTTCCAGCTCACCTATGAACATTACCTCCTTTGAACTGTTTGTGATAGGCCAATATTTCAACAAACCTCTTATGACAGTATCAGCAAGCTTGCTGTCCTTTTCCACAAATTGTGTTATGCAGTAAGATAACTGCTGATGATACATTTGTACGCATTTTGGTTTATGAAGTGGAATAAGAGCTCGAACAAGG